GGTAGTTGAACGATATTTTCATAAATCAATTTATGTTTTTCAAAAGCCAACATTGCTAATATTTTAAAGTAACGTTTTACTTCGTCCGATTCATTCTTCCAGGAATTTCCAGCTTCCTTTGAGAGAGTTTTCCAATCCTTTTTACTCTCAAGAGATTTATGTTTTGCAGCATAATTTTTGCGGTATAAGAGAAAAGCGTTTTGGGATTTTGGAATATCTATGGAATCAACATTATTGGGATTGGGTGAAATGAGTTGAATCATTTGCACGTGTAGTTGACAAGGAGGATTAAAGAGAAGACGAGTCTGATCACTGTCAAGTTGTGCTTTATAAACACATAATAATATTTCATCCATACACATTATTACTGTTTTTGTTAGAATAATATTTTTCTATTGTTTAATGATTGAATATAACTAACTACATCAGGAAAATAAAGCTTACGTAAGCTTATAATTGGCCAGCATTACATCGAAATATTTGCAATTCTGATAATACTACCACATAATGCTGGTCAATTTTGAACCCTACGTAGGTCCATGATCCTAACGTGTTTCTAATCGGGTTTTCCTTTTGCCGAGTACAAACGTTTGTTACATATATTTCAATATATTATTATATAAGTTATAGTTTACTTTCCAATTATTACTGGTTGCATCATTTAAATGTAGAACCTAGATAACATTTCAATCAAATCTATCTATAACAGTAATAATGAATGAATAACGATGATAATTTCCAAAATGCGATAAAAAAAAATGTTGACTTACTTTCTTTTAACATCCACTTTTCCTTGTTTGCTTTTTTTGGCTCTTTTCGTCCTTCTTCATACATTCACAACAAAAAATTATTTTAGCCATAATACCTGTAGCAGTAAATCATAATTAGAATATCATGTAATCAATTACGAATTAGTATATAATAAATCTAAAATAAAACAAAGAAAATTTGCATTACAAATATTTGGACGAATGTGAAAGGATACAATGACGAAAACGTTTATTTTTTGAAAAACATTGGCTTAATGTGGTAAAGTGATTATGAACTGACATGTCATTTGTAAATCTAGCTAGATCTATAATTTCAACTATAAAAAGATACAAAAACCTTTAAGCTATAACATCGAACCCTCTAATTTGAAAATAATCTTTAAGCTATTAATAATATGCCAATTACTTTCTTTAATAATTAATTTTTTGTTTTTTAATGTACAATTTTTATAAAAACCCGTCGCTATTTTTTTTTTTTTAACATTTAGAAAAATTTTTTCCATAATTAATTTTTTTCCAAAAAAAAAAAA